GTGTATTGGAATTGCGATGAACATATAGATCGATTTCAGTAGAACTGATGTTTTAATAATATTACATCTTTAATCTATGATCTGCTGATCTTTAATTTCCCTCAGAAGTTTCACAGTTTTAAATGTGCATGTATTGTACATATTTGTCAAAAATTTATTTCTAGGTATTTTATATTTTTGATGTTATACTAAATGGTATTTTGCATTTTAAAATTTCCTTTTTTTATTACTAATAAAATATATCAACTGATTTTTTATATTGATCTCACATCCTGCAACCTTAACAAATTCACTTAATTCTATTAGCTTGTTTGTGTGTATATGTGTGTGTATGTCATAAGATTTTCTGTGTACATGATCCTGTCATCTTCCTTGCCAAACTTTATGCCTTTTATTTTTTTTTCTTATATTATTGCATTGTCTAGAACTCCCCAGAACAGTGTTGAACAGAAGAGGTAAAAAGGAATATGCTTACCTTGTTTCCAGTTTTAGAGAGAGGTATGCATTTAGTTTGTTATCATTAATATATTTAGGTACCTGTAAGTTTTTCATAAACGTCCTTCTTATCTTCTTCAGGCTGAGAAAATTCACCTTTAGTCATAGTTTCATAGTTGAATGAGAGGTTTGTTTATTTTTTCCTTTTTTCTTTATTATAGGTTGGTGGTTCAAACCCACCAGCCACTCCTCCGAAGGATACACCTTGGAAACTCAAGGAGGGGTCGCTATGAGTTGGATCCAGACTCAATTGCAGTGAGTTTAGTTTTTTGGTTTTAATACCAGAAATGGGTATTTCCTTTTGTAGAATGCTTTTTCTATATCTATTGAGTTAAGGATATGCCTTTTATCCTTTATTATATTAATATACTGAATTACAATGACTGCTTTTCAAATGTTTGGTAAGCATAAGTTTCTAGGATAAATCTCACTTTGTTAATATATATTGCTGGATTTTATTATGTAATATTTATTTAATGACTTTGTTGTCTACGTTCATGAGAGTTACAAGCCTATAGTGTTTTTTTTTTTTTTTTTCTTTCTTTTTTGCAATGTCTTTGCCTTCTTTGTTATTAAGATAATACTGGCCTAATGGAATTGGTTATCCAGTGTACATTCTCATTGTTATTTCTGAGTCTATTTTTATTGACTAATTTTTCTCATGGTTATAGTTCACAATTTATTTCTTTGGAGTATGTATATAATTTAAGAGTGGATGATGGATATTTAGAATTTTTCATTGGTGAATTGTTATGTTGTGGTTTTTGCTTTTATCAAAGATTACTAGTCTTTGTTTATTGAGTTTTGTGATTCAGCTTAATTCCCTCAAGGCTTACTTTTATCTTGTGTAAGGGCTTTACTCTAGGGATGTTGTAGCACTACCACTAAAGTATGACACTTTAAGATGATCAGTGATGATTTTTCAGTATGGCTGGTCAGCCCTTGAATTTCTCTCTGGCAAGTATGAAATCTAGGAGGTTTTAGCTTATAGCTCACTGTTCATTCTTTGCCTGGCCACGTGGAGTTGTGCACAGCTCAATATCCCATAATCAACAGAGCAAGAAACATGTGTACAGGTTTTGTGAGGTCTTTTTCTAACTAACTTTCTTCTTTCTGATAGTGTGCTCCACAAATTCCAGGCACCTTAGTCTCCTTGCTCCAGTCCATGTCTCTTTAACTCAGTATTTGTGGATCTTCCTCTGTGCAGCTAATCTGCAATTTACTCAAACCTGGGCAAACATAGGGCTCACTGTTTTTTTTTTTTTTCTTTTTTCCTCTCTTATCATGGATCACAATTCAACCCTGCATATTGTTCACTGTTTGAGACAGTTGTTTGAAATAGTTTGTTCCAGTGTTTTAGTTGTTAATAGTGACATGGTAAATCTGGTCCCATTTTTCAATCATGGACAGGGTCATAATACTTTCAGTCCTTTTTCAAGTAAGCACGTTGAGGCTTAGAGAGACTAAGTAGTGTAGTTCTGAAGAAAAGACACTTGGGCATAGGTTGGAATTCAAACTTCCTCTTCTTACTAGTTGTATGACCTTGAGAAAGTTAAAGTTCAATATTGGTTTCCACATCATTAAAACAGAAATGATGATGTTTCTGCTGCTGCTGATGATGACAGGAATTATCTCGTACCATTATTGTGATGACTAACTGAGATGATGATAGAACAGTTTTTAGCACAGTGCCTTGCACACATAAAGTATTGGATGCTTGATATAACTAGTGATACTGTCCATGATCACTTTGACAGAACATCTGATTTCAATTCTGGAAAGTAGTATAATGGTAAAATTAGATATTTCTTAATTTTTTATTAAAATATATTTTTTCTTTAGAAAAGTCTCCAGAACAGAAGGTAGCTCTTTTTAGGCTCATAGAACTAATGTCCTGGGAACAAGGGTAAGGTCTCGTTTAATGGAACACGATGAGTTCTGTTTGTGTTTGTGGGGCTATTTGAAAAGAAACATATGTGAGTCATTCATTATGAATTTCTAGTACAGGGTACTTATTGTTTGACTAATCACACTGATGTGATTAATAATAGGAAATAACAGTTTCATAAGATTGAAACTGTAGTCATTCTAAACACAACTCATTAAAAACTTACAGTTTTCTCTCAGTGCCAGGAAATCTTGAATGAAAAGTAGAGCTCAAATAGAAAATCAGGGCAAAGCTAATGTGTCATTGTTGAAGGTTCAACCATGTCCTAAGTTAATCCTCATGCACTTAAATATGACAGGTAGACAAGAAATAAAACACATACTGGTTTGTCATATGTAATGGAATATTACAGCAGCAAGGGGAATTTAGTCTTTCTCTGTTATTTGATCACAACCAGTGTGTCAGCTAACAGCATCTACTTATTCTCAGATGACAACAGTGCCAGTTAATTAGCTCTTGTTTATGCTCTATTGATAGACTTAAATTATATTACATAACCATGCATAACAGATAGAAACTCTTGCCTTTGATCTAAATACAGCATTTCTTTTGCTTTGGTGACATTTGAACTATGTACCAGAATAAAAAAGCTTATAATAAGCCCAGCATAAAAAATAGATCATCTAAACCAGATAATTAAAAAATGTGATTAATGATAATTTTGACTTGAAAACAAAAGTCTTAATTTCAGCTACAGTTGATTTATAAAAAGTACAGACATTACCTTTGAGATTGGTGCTACAAAATGCTATTAATATCTCTGCAGATTCCTCAATCTTTGACTTTAAAAATATGAGTGTTATAGTTGTTAGTTATAAATGTGTTCTTTACATATACTTATTGAATTAGAATGAGTTTCATGATCATTAAGAAGCTTTTCCTGTTCTTGATTCTTGTAAACTCTCTTCCAACAATGTTTATGAAAGGTAGAAGACACATTTTTTCTAGAAGTCAGGATAACATATCCCTCGCAGTAATTTAAATTGCAGAATTTGTTTCTCTGCAGTACATTCTGTGTAACAAAGCTACTGCTGAAAAGAGTAGCAAAGCATTCCAGGAGTGTGTGAATATTTTTCTTCTAAAGACAAATGATCAATGTTTGACATGCTTCAGCCAGTTTCCCTCTTAAAGATTTCTAAGTTAGAGTTAAACATGGACAAAGCAGCCTTAAAATGAAAGTACATGTAGAAGAGATCCTTACCCTTCTCTCTCCACTCCCCCCACCCCTTTCCTTGTTCTTCTTATTAAATAAACATAAAGAAATGCCAGTTGAGATACTGATATGTTTGCTTGGTGTCCTTGATTAGAAATAGTCCAGACATCAAGAAGCTAAAACCAAGATGAGTATGTACATAACTACTAAGGCTGGATGTTTTCAAATACATTGCAACAAAAGAAAATTGAAAAGGCAAATTTGAATACACCATGCTGTTTCCATTATGTTGCCCTAGATTAGTAAAACAATGTAACATCAAAATTAACTTAGGTAATCATAAAAGTTGAAGAGCTGCCACTGGCATATTAGTCCCTGCACTTTCCACACAGCTTTAGCCAATGTGACATGTTGATACCATGTGTCCAGGAAGTGGTCAAGGTTGATTAGTCAGCTCTCAGTGGAAGAATTTGCCCCTAATAGATAGGCAGCTATAAACACATGGTATATTTAGGAAAGTGATACAGTAAAAATATCACATATCACAATTATATATTTGTGAAGTATTGGTTTTTAAAAACAGAATATTTAACAATCATTGCTAGAACAAATCATTACATTTCTAAAGAAGAAATAAAAAGTGTGCAGATACACTATCAACCGAGGAGATTAATAAAAAATCTGAATATTGTTGTCCTCTTAATGACGGTAGTAGAGAGTGTCAGGAATGACCTTTCATCCTTGCCACATAGTGTGAATCACCAACAGAAAGAACAAAGAAACAGTAAACTGACTCCTTCAGAACTGAATCTGATACACGAATTCTTTGCCTTTTGTTTATGACAAATGCCTTCCTTAGTCAGTTCCAGGTTCTCACAATCTAATAATCAATCAGAAAAATATTAGTAATAATGGGAAGGCAATATCATTTACTTTTGTAAAGTCATATTATGGTATTTTTAGTTACAGACCTTTAACTGTATCTCACTAGTAATAAGATACAGTAATTATTTATTAAAAGTAACATGAAAATATGAATAAAATATCTTTATGTACAAAGTGGCATGACATGATTTTTACCTAAAGTTCAATAACATACTTGCAAATTGTCCCTGAATTAACATAGTGGAAAACAATAAATACAAATATTAGGTAATATAAGAACAGCAACAAAGTAGAAAAGTCTCCATGAATGAAAACTGTAGGCTCTTGAAACTTTAAATCAAGGTAAGTTCATGCCATCAGTGTTCTCATCTGCCTGGACTGCTTCAAAAATGTCCCTGCTCAACTTCCTCTTCTAGGGATGTGCCTATACAATATAGCAATATGCTTCTTTACATCTTAAAGGTCAGGATGGGCACAGGATTCTTCTTGAGTCTATCAAATTATGAGTGCCACTGGACATTACTTTATTGGGACAGGCAGCTGGTGAAGACTGGTGAAAAAGCTTGGTGATTCCACAGGGCTTTCTCCTTTTCTGTCCTGGGACATAGAATCTGAAGAGAAGCCTATGAAGAAAAGAAAAAGCAAAAAAAAAAAAAAAAAAAATCAGATTCCAAGAAAGTGAAGAAGAATGAGAGGGCAGTTTGTTTGTTTGTTTTAGGTAAGGAACTCTAGTGTCTAGAGTGATTATTTCTAGCCAATAAAATGACTTTACATGAAGCATTGATGGTTCAGTGGTAGAATTCCTGCCTTCCATGTGGGACACTTAGGTTTTATTCCCAGCCACCATGCTTCCATTTGTCAGTTGGCCCTTGTGTCTTGCTATGATGCTGAACAGGTTTCAGTGTGCTTCCAGACTAAGATAGACTAGGAAGAAAGGCCTGGTGATCAATCAATGAAAATCCTGTGGATCACAGTGGTCCAATCCATCACCTATTAAGGGGATGGTGCAGGACCATGCAACATTTCATTCCACTGTGCATGGGGTTGCCATGAGACTCTATAGTAGCTAATAACCCAACAGAGTAATTTGAATATTCTGCAGGCACTTCACACTGAACACATCTAAGACAAAAACAGTATATTATCTGCCGTACCTGTCCTCCCTCACTCCATAGTCTTAATCTTTGCTACTAGCCCCATCATCCACACAGGCAACCAGGCTAGAAATGTTGATGTCATCTAGAGTTATATTCTTCCTTACTCCTCACTGCCCACATCTAATCAGTTACCATATCTCAAGAATTTGGTCTTCCAGACATTTCTCTATTCTACTTCCTCAACTCCTTCTCCACTATACTTGCATCCTTAATTAAGCCCTTATCATTTTCCTATGGGATATTACCATACCCTTTTTCTTCTGCACTTCTAGTATTTCTTCTGTTGAATTGGTTCTCCACATCAAACACAGAGTGATATACCTCAACTACAAGTCTTTTGATTAAAGTCCTTAAATACAGTCTATCACTAACCAGATACAGTTCAATATATGGTGCTTAGGGTAACAGTGTGAGTTATTAAGAAATTATTTGGTAACTTGCATGCTTTTCTGTGAAGGGTCATCGATAAAGGAGAAGACCTTCAGCAAGATGGATTGACATAGTGGCTACAACAATGGACTTGGATATAGCAGGCATTGTGAGGCTGGTGCAGGACTGGGCAGTGTTTTGTTCTGTTGTGCGTGGGGTTGCCATGAGTAGGAACTCCCTCAACAACACCTAACAGCAACAACAATGCTTTTCTGAGATATACTCATCAGTGAGAAGAATGAATAGGCAAATCTCCACTTTTCCCTCACATGAAGGATAATCAGGCCTTTGGGTTATTACTTTGGGTTTTCTGGTTTTCAGTAAAACAAAACAAAACACACTTTCTGTATATGTCCAAAAAGACACATATTCTTTTATATATTGAAAGTGGGTGACTAGCACAATATCACTAAAGAAAAAGAAGACACAGAGAGGTGCACAAGAATTACAGACAAGAAAGGCAAATACTATTACATACACAGTACTGCATTATCAGTAATAACAAACATTAATCTATGGGTGGATACATAGGTAGACCAGTAAGATGATCAGGTATGGGTAGGCAAACAGGAATATACTCATGACAATATATAGGTTTGCAGACAATGTTTCTCTCTCTCTCTCTCTTTCTCTCTCTCTCTCTCTCTATATATATATGTATGTGCTATATGAAATGTCTATATATATATATAGATAGATAGATAACCTAATTTTTTCTATTGTTTCCTTTTTTCACATTTAGTTCTTTATATATTTTTTCCTCCATATAGATATAAATAGCATACTATTCCATCTCCACACTTACTATTAACCAATTTGTTTCACATTATTTATTGACATCAATAAGAAAGGAATGTGCTTTGCCTGCTCCACATTTTTCCCTAGAAACTTTGGTCTTAGCAGGAGTTCTCTGCAACAGCAAATTAATTCCTTTAGCTATTTCATCAATGTCACTCCTTTGATAAAATAATTAATCTATAAGTATATTTATGTATTTTATATTTTAAAATAGCACATTTACTTTGTAAATGAGCATTAGTATGTATAGAAATGCATATAGTCAATATACCTCCTGTATTTTATTCTACTGGCCTTCAAAACTCATCACAAGCTAATTTAACACTAGCTATTTTGATTGTTGTAATATCTGGAACTAAAGTGAGTTATAAAGGGAATATTTAAGCAAGATAATCCTTTTCTTATTCTTAAGATATTGTGCTTTCTAAATGTAACAGCATTCCTACTCAACTCACTACCATTGAGCTGATTTTGACTCTTGGCAACCCGTACTTCCATTTCTGAGGTAGTATATCTAGGGAAGTAGATTGCCCAACCTTCCTTCCGAGGAGTACTGCTACAGTGAAAGTATATGTTTGAAACCCTTATCAACCTTCTTTTTGTTAGTATAAAAGTAGCAGAGACTTTTGGAGTAGTTTGAATACCTTAAACAGTATCAATTATGCCCATATAGCTTTTTAAATGTTTTCTAATTATTGTCTTATTTCTTCTGTGTAATTTCATGTTCCCACTAGGCAAAGCTTTTGATAAGGCAAGGATAATAGCTTAGAAGTTGTCTTAGTTCTCTAGTGTTACTATAAGAGAAATACAAAACATGGATAGCTTTAACAAATAGGAATTTATTCTTTTATAGTTTAGGAGGCTAAAAGCCTGAATTCAGAGTGCCGGCTCTAGGGACTGGTGAACACCCTTCTACTTTGGGCTTCAGTTCTGCCTTCTGTTCTAGGCCTACTGGAGCTAGAGGCTTCTCCTAACTTATGCAGCTTCTGGCTGCTGAGTCTGATGAATCCAAGATTGGCAGGTAAAATGGCACCATCCCAAGATCACCAGGCAACACAGCAGGCCACTAGTGCTTCACCTTTAGGAACTAGAGATGAAGGCTGAACCAAATACAAGATCCTTTCTATATATTCTGGAAGCAGGCCCCACCCCAAAGGAACTCTCCTTTAACTGATTAATTTCTCACAGACATTCCACCATGGAATTATGCAATGTCCAATCTCATCATGGGGGATAACTACACAGTGCTGCCAAGCCAGTTAAGTCATGACCCAGCCAAGTTGACACACAACCTTAACAACCACAATCCACTCTTTGTCAGATTGGCACCTGTAAATATCTCCTTCATTGGGTGGCCTGATTTGACTCCATCTCAGTGGTGACCTCACCCCCTTGGCCTGGAAGGCTCCATTCTTCTCACCTCGGGCAAGACAGGCCCACTCCTTCACTTTTGCTGTTGTTAGGTGCTGTCAAGTTGGCTGTGACTCATAGTGACCCTATGTAAAACAGAATGAAACACTACCAGGCCCTGTGCCAACCCCACAAACCTTGCTATACCTGAGCCAATTGTTGCAACCACTCTGTCAACCTATCTCACTGAGAGCCTTCCTCTTTTTCTTTGATCCTCCACTTTATCAAGCATTATATCCTTCTCCAGGGAATGGGCCTTTCTGACATAATGAACAAAGTAGGTCAGATGAAGTCTTGCCATTCTTGCTTCCAAAGAGCACTCTGGCTTCACTTCTTCCAGGAAAGATCAGTCAGTTCTTTTGACAGACCATAGAACTGTCAGGATTCTTTGCCAACACCACAACTCAAAAGCATCAACTCTTCTTCAGTCTTTCTTACTCCTTGTCCAGCTCTTACATGCATATGAGGTGATTGAAAATAACATGGCTTGCATCAGGCACACCTTAGTCTTCAGAGCGACATCTTTGTTCTTCAGCACTTTAAAGTAGATTTTCCCAGTGTAATATGTTGTCTGATGTCTTGACTGCTGTTTCCATTGGTGTTGGTTGTGGAGCCAAGTAATATGAAATCCTTGACAACTTCAATCTCTTCTCCATTGACTGTGATGCTGCTTTTTGGTCCACTTGTGAGGATTTTCATTGACTTTATGGTAAGGAGTAATCCATATTGCAGACTGTATTCTTCAATCTTCTTTGGTAAGTGCTCCAAGTCATCCTCACTTTCAGCAAGCAAAGTTGTGTCATCTGGATATTGCAGGTTGTTAATGAGTATTCTTGCAATCCTGATGCCACACTCTTCTTCATATAGTCCAGTTTCTCAGATTATTTGTTCAGCATACAGATTGAATAAGTATGGTGAAAGGATACAACCGTGACACACTACCTTCTTCATCTTAAACCATGCGGTATCCCTTTGTCCTGTTTGAATGACAGCTTCCTGGTCTATGTACAGGTTCCTCATGAGCACAGTTATGTGTTCTGGAATTCCCATTCTTCTCAATGTTATCTATAATTTGTTATGATCCACACAATCAAATGCTTTTGCATAGTCAATAAAACACAAATAAACATCTTTCTGGTATTCTTTGCTTTCAACCAAGATCCATCTGACATCAGCAATGATATCTCTCATTCCATATCCTCTTCTGAATCTAGCTTGCATTTCTAGAAGTTCTCTGTCAATATACTGCTGCAATCATTTTTGAAATATCTTTGGTAAGATTTTACTTGTATGCAATACTAATGATATTGTTCAGTAATTTCCACATTCTGTGGGATCACCTTTATTTGGAATGAATACAAATATAGATTTTTTCCAGTCAGTTGACCAGGTAGCTATCTTCCAAATTTTTTGGCATAGACAAGTGAGTGCCTCCAGCATGGCATCTGTTAGTTGAAACATCTCAGTGGGCATTCCATCAATTCCTAGAGCCTTGTTCTTCACCAATTCCTTCAGTGCAGATTCAACTTCTTCCTTCAGTATCATTGGTCCTTGATCATATGCCACTTTCTCAAATGAATGAACATCAAGCAATTCTTTTTGGTACAGTAACTTTGTGTATTCCTTCCATCTTCTTTTGATATTTCCTGTATCACTCAATATTTTGTTCATAGAGTCTTTCAATGTTGCAACTGCAGACTTAATTTTTTTTTTTTTTCTTCACTTCTTTCAGCTTGAGAAACGCTGAGCGTGTTCTTCCTTTTGTTTTTCTAACTCCAGGTCTTTGAATGTTTCATTATAATATTTGACTGTGTCTTCTTGAGCTTCTC